GCTGAAATGTATACGTGACTCTAAATGTTTCACTGTAAAATATCGGCCGGGAAGGGTTGGGTTGGGAAGAGGGAAGGAGGGGGCGTGAAAAAGGTGGCGAATTGGTCCCGCGAGGCTATTAAAACTGAGCATCCACTCGGCCGGTCCTCTTCCTGGGTCTGTGATCTTCTTCCGTTTCTCTCCTGGGACGTCTCAAAAGTGGACAAATAAAGATTTTTTATGCCCCTCCCCCTCCTCGCCTGACGTACCCTTAGCATTGTAAGAGCTTCGTATGAAAATTTCATAGCGGTCCTTACGCTTGACTTCTGCTGGTGCCCCCGAACCGGACTCCAGTAGTGGGTTCTGAGTTGAGTCCAACGAAGCACTGTTGCCAATTCGTTAGCGAGAGGAAATCCCAGAGGCAAAACGCTAACAGCTATCTCCTAGCAATAAATCTCTTTACACGGTAAAGTAATTTTCGGCACTAATATACACCCCCCGGAAAGGTTTCGGTGATATCGCTCGATCATATTTGCAAACCGTCCACGGGAAAAGGAGCAGCACACCGCGACACACCGCGACCCACCGCGAAGTGGAGTGGGGGAAGGGGGGAGCGAGGCCCCCTTATATGCCGGTATATGCGCACAGCGCCGGTATTTTTTCAATTCTACGTTACGTACCATGCTAAAATTTATCAAAGAAAACTACGAAAATTCATCAAAGAAAACTAATCAGACAGCGGAAAATATGGAAATCAGCTCCTGAACAAGGAATACGTGTTAACAATTGGACCGTATTATGCAATTAGGAACTATAATTCCCATCTCAGTTTAAAAACAAAGTACGTACCATTAGTTTCTGTATGTACATGAGTGTTTTTGCGGATGGGGCAGAAATTGCAGTTCCTAATTGCAAAATGATGTCAAGTTAACGTTGGGTAAATGGCAAGAATACAATAACGTATACTATTATAATCAACGTCCAATTCCTCTGTATTAAAAATACTTGCTGATAACTCGTTCAGCACTTCAATTCCGAACTTTCCGTTGTGTAAATCGTTTTTACCCAAGATTTTGAAAAGAAAACGTGATACTTATTTCTCGTTCAAACTTTGTCGAAGCGCCCGTTTCTAAATTTTAGTATCATTCCCTGATTTCCTGGCATGCTTTTCGTTTCCTGATAAATCTCAGGAATTCTTGTGGTGTCTGGGCCGAACGAGGAGGGGAAACACAGCTTTTTTTTAACACTCTTCTAAATATGGCGGCGGGTTTTGCAAATGCAGTACGGAAGGCGAGATGCGGGCGCGAAACGATCAAGAACTAATTAAAGTTTCCTTCGAGAGTTGTTTACAATGCTTGCTTTTAAGTGACACTGACGGTTTGTTTGCCGAGCCTTTACTGGCGATGGGAGTTGGAAAGTAGTGCGCAAAGATTGCTAATTAAGTGCGATAAAGAATTCAAGAACGAGACACTCGAATAAATTGCAGCTGCTACAGCTGTTGATGCTTTATAATTAATATGACGACACGGTGAAATAAAACTTAAGAGAAATTCGTCTTGATTGATGCGACCTCTAGAAAGCTAAATGATCCCAACTGCGTTTCAAGGGATTGACATACTTTAAGGACGGATGGGGGGGGGGCGTGAGTTTAGAATTAATCCCCTATTATATGTTCAAACGATCTTCTTAAGGAAAAATACTTCTACAACGGAACTTTTCTGGATGATTGTTTTGCTAGTTGCATAAATTGCCTCTCAGTTACCTTTCAAAAAAGTTTTGGACCTAACTAGGATAAGTCTTGAATCAACTTACTTGATGACTTACGACCAGAAAGTTGACCAATGGAGTTCTTGCGTGTATTGGGGAGTTGCGATTAAGGGTTTTATCTATGTAAAATTGTATGTAAAAGCACAAAAACGAACTCAGAAACCAAGGAACACCCAGTTCAACGCGCGCAACTTTTCCGCAAATTTACAACGCCCGGGTTTGGCACCGAACCGAATGCTGTCATCAGGCACCAAGCAGAAGCAAGCATGGGGCTCTACGACTTCCGCCCACTGTCTTTCTACTCCTCAGAAATGGAAACAATTGGAAAGTCGAAACTTTATCTTCAGAGCGAAATAATCGGAAAAATGAGAGGAGATCACTCGCATCATTTTCTTGCCATTTCAAAACGGCCTTTTAAAAGCGAGCTTGTCCGAAATTTTGGCTCCAAGAATACGCAATAAATCACCACATAATCCACTCATCTGATGCTTTCAGAATATCAAAGATTTAGTGACTCACTGTCTGCTCAACAAATTACTCATCGATCAGCAGTAAGCGGGAAGTAGCAGTGGACTCCGTACCTAACTTCGCCTCGCCTGATTGCACTGCTTTTAGATTGTAGGTTAGGGGTCTCCAAAATAAATTGCGTCTTGTTATTCACGCGTTATAAATTGAACAAACCAACGTTGCCAATTTGTGGCATTCGCCACAGTTGGCGATGCGCGGTGCGCGGACGTCCTCGCGCGGCCAAGATCGTTGTCTTCATTTCCGGCTTTTCCGGCAGCCTCCCCCTCCACCCCACCCGTCCGGGTTGCAAACACGACTCGACACTTTCAACCTGTTGGTACACCCCNCCCCCCAACCGAGTGCAAGTGTTCCTTATGAAACGCTACGACTGAGCGTCCCCGGGGGAGTCGCGCAGTCGAGCGGCTCGAGGTGGGAAAATATGAGATTGTGCTTCGCCCTGCTCAGCCACTCAATTAGTGGTTGTAATCGCGGTTAATCAAATTTCCACCGCTAAGTCCACGACGTTGCCGTCTTGAGATATCTCGGGGACCGCAATGAAATGATGATACATATGAGGGGGGGGAGAAAAACAAAAAAAGGGTAGTAATAGAATAATAATAGTAAAAAATTGCCTTTGAAAAGTGCACTAAAACTGAGGCGTTAGATGCAGAGAGGGCAGTAAGGGCACCTATCAAATAGCTTCAGTGTAAGACTATAGAGGGGAGAATATTCAGCTTACGCACGTGCGTACAGATTCTTTTCGAGGGTTCTACTGAGCATGTTGCACTGGTTCCACTCATGTTCAAGCTTTTTTCAAAGCCATGCTCAATTAGAGCCCAGCTTAGCACCTTACACCATTCTAGAAGGGCATTTAAAATCAAATCCTCAAATCAATCCTCAAAACACGTTCGTTAGACATCTATTTTAGCTTAGTGGAAAAGCAAATTGCATGACTAATACTTTGACGGCGATTGAAAAACTTTGCGGTTTTGTTTTTATATTTCGTTGAATTTCCTACTCAAAATTAAGCATTAAAGAGTGTTATTCAGGAACAGATATCTGAGAGACGAATCGGCGCACAGTGGATCGAGTCGATAGGAGAGGTCGGACAAAATTTGGTAAACTTAAACGCTTATTACTATATTTATACGAAACTTTGAGGCTTTAAAAGTGGTTCCATTGGTTTTCTCAAGAAATTTCCTACTCTAAGCACCCCTTAAGGTTTAAAATGTGACGAAATAAACATCAAAATTTGAAGTTGTAGTCGAAAATGTCATGCCCAACCTCTCTTATTGACTCGATCCAACTAAGCGGCGGCAAAACTACCAACAGGGAATGAATGACAGGGGTTACGAATCCTACGACGGCGATCTGGATCGGGAAGAAGCTGAAACCGTATGCAGCGTTTTCGAGTCGTAAATTTCAGCTGAAGCTCAGAAACTTGAGGGCGTGGGTTTGGGGAGCAGGCACGCGGGGGCGGGCGCCTGAATTTTAGTTTACTTTTCTTCCCGCAAATCGAGAAGTTTTCTCGTCGAAAAGTTCACGCTTGTCAAATTATACATCGATGTTTATTGCGCTCATGGCTGTGTCGGGTTTCCTGGGAAATGTTCATAATTTTCAGAGCGAATGGCTGCACGTTTAAGCCGCTCCGCGTCTCAATATCGAACAGAGGCGGATCCAGCAATTTGGCAACACTGGATTTTCTCCATTGAAACCTATGCTAAATAATCGATTCTTGTCGAAGCACTTGGCTCCTCCAAGAATCGATACATTCCCATGAGGTTAAATGGAGGAAAGACAATGTTGCCAAATTGCTGGATCCGCCAATGATATCGAAGCGTCGCAGCACTTATTCCAACTCTCAAATAGCTCAGGAGGGAAAAAAAGTAAGACCAAAACACACTATCACGGGTTCCTCTTGATGACAATGTCAGGGAACTCTCTACATCGTGGGACTTTGAGAGGTTCCAAAATAAGTGAAACCGCCCTTGAGGAGGTGTTTGCATTTCAGGCATCTTGGATTTTTTTGATGACGATTTTTGTAATCAATTTTTTTGTGGAAATGATGCGGTTTATGGAAAGAAGTCATTCTATTTACCAGTGTTTGAAATTATATCATGAGTTGATTTAAGCAAAAAAATCGGAGGTTATCGTCCATTTTTCATACTTCGAATTCTGGATTTTGCTGGAGTACCTGCACCGTCCTCCGTCACGGGGTAAACAATCCTCAAGATGCAAACACCTCCTCTTTTTTCTCTCTGCCCACTGGGTGCTTACCCAAGGATAGAAACCACGGTTGGTTGGGAGACAATGATGGAACTACACTGGGAAAAAAAACACATTGGGTCTAGAGTCCAGACTCTTAAAAACATCGACAAGAAAAAATACTCTTGATTCAATCAGATTTAAGCTTAAATCAATAACCAAACCTCTTAATTTGAGCGGATTTCCTATTGATTTAAGCTTAAATCTGATTGAGTCAAGAGTATTTTTTCTTGTCAATGTTTTCAAGAGTCTGGACTCTAGATCCAATGTGTTTTTTCCCCAAAGCGGGGTAAACAATCCTCAAGATGCAAACACCTCCTCTTTTTTCTCTCTGCCCACTGGGTGCTTAACTGCTTACCCAGGGATAGAAACCACTGTTGGTTAGGACAATGATGGAACTACCTTGGGTTCGCTTCTATGAATTGTGGGGATCCCCCTCGTGGGGATCACCAGGGCTCTACGGGAGTGTTTTTAATGCTCACCCTATGAATAGTCTCCTCGAATCCGGAGTGCCCATGGGTGAAATATTTCAATCTATCGTACTCGGAGCCGGGCGGCTCGTCCAGTCTGTCGGGCGTCAGCGCCTGAAAACACAAAAGTCGGCAAAATTAGAACGAGCCCGTTTTTTACTCACAAACTCTACGAGTGGCCCACGGAAATCGATTAAATCTTAATATGAAGAAGAAGAAAAAAGAGAAAAAAATCATGCGGAATAAACTTACAATCCTGCCGCATTGTAGCAAGCAAAATCCGAAGATGGAGCGACAGAGAATTTGCAGGTGCACTGGAAAAAAAAACACATTGTATCTAGAGTCCAGACTCTTGAAAACATTGACAAGAAAAAATACTCTTGATTCAATCAGATTTTTGCTTGAATCAAAACGAAATCCGCTTAAATTATGAGGCTTGGTTCTTGATTTAAACTAGATTCTGATTGAATCCAGAGTACTTTTTCTTGTCGATGTTTTTGAGAGTCTGGACTCCAGATCCAATATGTTTTTTTTCCAGTGAGGCGTCTGACAAATTGTGAATTTCATATTCAAAATGAAACTGCTAAGAGAACTAAGACGAGGATATCCTTGGTTTCTAATTTGAACAATTATCGGAGGCTTTATGACAAAATGATCTGATCTGCTGAAATACATGTGCTTCAATTGGAAACGCCGCCGGATCAGGCCAGAAGGCGGCACATTTTCTCACTGTCAAATTTATTTTTATGCAATTTCCCATTTCAGAAAAAAGTACTGCGACTTAAGTCATCATGCACTCTCAGATAAAGCAATAAATGTTGCGTGTGCAAATTCTCCATTGTGGAGGCGTTGTGCATAAAAAACATAAGAATCGTTCATACTAATAAATGGATTGTTCGTAAATCATGTAACTGATACTTGATTTTATTAATTTCCATTACAGGAATTCCTTTTTTTTGTGGGATTCTTAGTTAGATGAGTAGGAATCGGCTACATTTGAAACTTTAATTAAAAGTTCTGCGTTAGTTTCAGATAACCTCGAACTATGCATTTTGTTAAAAACTAAAAGCTCTCCGAGGAAGTTGTCTCGTTTTGGGCCCAAGGAAAAAGAAATTTCAGAGATTCTAATTTGCTGTGATAACATGATCACTCAGGTACGGGAATCTCTTCTGGCATCTGTCAGCGGTGGAGCAGTCGTGTCTTTCTCGAGCTGAGAGTCTCTATGTTTCATGTTTCAGAACTGAGAAGTCACCACGAATCTGAGCACTCGAGATCCGGCGACATAATGCTCTTCTTTCTCAGGTGGTTGCTTACAAAGCTCTGTCGCACTCACTATTTGTCCTGAGAAGAGCTCGGTAACTCAATGGGAATGGGCTCACTTGTGTGACTTGTGAGTTTGAGCCATCCCAGCCTCAATTCCACTTCCACTCAGGCCGCTTTCTTCTCATCCGTTCTTTATCGGACAGTTTTTTGCTAGTATTATTCTTTTCTTATCATTTAATTTTTCTTTTGAAGAGTGTGAATGAAATGCGATAGGAAGAGTGACAAAAGAACACAGCACAACAGTACACTTAATACACACACTACATATAACATACAAAATACAATACACTTAATTTTCTCAAAGCGCACGGAGAAAAAAACTTCGTGCATGGGGCCCGAAGTTGAGGTCAGATGAATCTCTGAAGTTTTCTGATCACGCGTCCAAAAGCTTGAGGTCTAGCTGCCGAAGTTCGGGTCGGACATCGAGACACTTCGGCATGTACCGGAGAACTTCAAATGTGTGACCTGAACCCTTCGGTATATATCGAAGTACTTCAGAAGTCTGACCCGAACTTCGGCAGCTGGACCTCAAGTTTTTAGATACATGATCCGAAAACTTCAGAGACCCATACGACCTTAACTTCGGGTCCCACATACGAAGTTTTTTTCTCCGTGCGAAAGACACAAAATTTCAAAATTTCTGGTCTTCTAGACAATCTGTATTGTCTAATATTAGTTTGTCTCTTAAAACCTTTGTAATCCTGTGATTCATGCAATGGACACACTGCACTCATTTTTAATGGTGGTTGAGATATTTTTAAGTAAAATTCGCCTGAAGAAAACAAATGAATCGACGTTTGCGAAAACGTCCGTTGTCCAATACAGGTATTCACAATTGCGGTGGGTTTCTTTTGTCCCACGACACTGATGAATAGGATCTATCTCTTTTGTAAGCGTTTGATTACACTGAGGGGATTATTTATAAAATTGTTCTACATTCCTAACGTCTTAAACCATCTTGTGTCGTGAAGTCACTACGAAATTGTCCAGTCAAATTCTGAAACACTGTCTTGGACATCGGACGTTTTCGCATGCGTCGATTCAAATGTGGTTATCAAGAGAATTGTGAGAGTGAAAGTACCTAGAGGAGGGGTTATTAATGTCCTCCAGCGCTTCGTTGTCTTGGCAGAGCTCCATTGGAGTGTAAAAAAAAAACGAATAAGGGCGGGGGAAAATGGGCGCATAACTGAGTCGGATGTGACGGCGAAGATGATAGCGCCAAGTCGTTTGTACCTATATTACAGAGCTCATGCCAGGCATTCGTAGTAGGATATGAGGATTTAATATCTCACCACCTCAGCCCCTTGCCCAACCCTGAATTTTATCCCGACACTCGTTACGTCTTGGTTTTCCCACCGGAGTTAAAGGTATCATCCGACCCTTGTTAATTATCTCCGCTTGAGGGGAGAATTTTGCGGTGGCGGATGAGTTTAATTTTTATAAACCGTTTCATTCCCCGTGCTCTAACAGAGTGCAACTTCGCATTGAAACTGGAAGTCGTGATGACGTTTCGGAAAGTTCAAATTCTTCAAGCCACGAGGGCCTTCCGTCTCCTGAAGGATGGTTTTGCGAAGAATCAAATTCGAGCGAGTTAGTACAATCATAGGCTTTGTTGAGAGACTGAAGTTTGTTATGCTTTCAAAAGAGGGTCAAGAAAATCAGGGTCCCAAAGTTCCAAAATTTAATTCATTTGCTAATTCCCCGACATTTCCTCAACTTGCTATCGCTGCTAATTGCTCATCGCTGGCTACCCTTAAAATTCCTCAAACAGTCGAACAAAAATTCCACTGATTTTTTACTTCTTCCTTATTACGCTAACTTCTTCTAAACTTCGAACATTTCCTTTTCTAGGGTTTCAAATTATATCGAATACTCGAGATTTGTTCGCTCTAACACTAATGGCAATGAAAACAAACAATAATTGCAGAGACAGCCAACACATCCTGTAAGTATTATTATCGAAAATGATCACTAGAAGCGTGAACAACGACCGAACTGTTGTCGAGCAACTATTACTACTCCTAAGTAACATAAAATCGCCGCCTGCTCGAGTAATTGAAAGAGAGCTGGTCAAAATGAGCGGAACACACTACTATTGAGACGGATAATATTAGTGTGTCCACAATGCATGAGTTGACTTTGATAATAATTAGCTTCAATTAGATGATTGGACTCGTTCCCTACAAAAAGATGCTGAGCGATAAAATAAATTCTTCCGACACCAGCTTTTCACCTTCAAACCGCAAAATATTTGATACCTGTTGAGGTCAAGATTTCTTACAATCTCCTAATCTCACTTTCATTTACATTTTGCATTTTAGTGTAAAAAGTCCATTCTCTTACATCAGTTCATTACAGTCTGTTTTTCTCTAATTATTTGCCTTCACATCGGGTATCCGCAACTCTTCTTGCATACACTAGCTATGCGTGTAACCATTCTGATACCTGAGAGACCTCCCTCATGTAGTCTCATAATTGTTTCTAGTTGTTGGTCGAGCGTTGAAGTTACAGAATTGGCTACGCGCCCGAAGCCGCTTTTGGTTTTCCGAGTCGGTGGAATACGGACACTGATAAAGACCCTACGATTGAATAAACTGGCCATCATGGACTTGCAGACTGCTTATCGTTATCCGCCATCCTCCCACCCCACCAGGCTCCAAGCCGTGCTCGTGCAACAGATGCCGCATTCCGCATCCGCGGCACCCGGCACCGCCGTTTCCGAATTCCCGCCAGCCCGCCGCCGCCATCCAGGTTAACGACTCCGCGTCCAATTAAAACCGCCGAAAACCCCCCAAAAAAGGGTAAAATCCCGCCAAGCCTATGAGATCTTAGAACCGGATCAAGCATTCAGAAAAAAAGTAACTAACAAACTTCCAAAATCTCAACCAGTGACTTTCATTTCAAGCCTCAAAATGACTGATATCATTTGGGGTCCAGAATTTTCATAGCCTCTACGCTTCAAAACTACAGCAAAATTATGGAAACTCAATGACAGTTACAATCCCCTTCACTTTGCTCGACGCAACCAGCTTCTCTGTGAAGTACTTTTGGTTGCTTTAGCCGCGTTTGCAAGGTGCAAGGGTTCGTTGCGGAATGTGTTCCCTTTACAGAATTGCTGAAATTTACCAACTTCATCATGCCAATCTTTAAGTTTCAAACCGTTTTTCCCCATGGAGCTCATTGTTAGTTTTTCAAATAATTGCATATTTGCGACAGAAATTGCTCCACACTTTGACATATCTTTTATCTCTGTGAGTGACTTCAACACTCCAGAAACTTTATTGGCGAACGTCTCTAAGAGAGGGTTTTCGTTCCTCTGGTGAACCTTCTCGTAAATATTCATGCTCCTCTTTTGCGGAATGGAGAGACGGGGGATCGTCATGAAAATATTGCCTCTCAAATTTTTCAACTCTTTCAAAATTGGAGGAACATGCGCGAACGGCCTCTCCGCAAAAATCCACCGCCAGGTCTGCTGTGCTAAGGAAGAACGCCGTATGTAAATTTGAGAGTTACCACATTTCCCTTGATAAAACATATTTTTATGACGACATTCATGCACATTCTTCTTTGAAATTTTCGAATATTATTTATTCAATTGCGTACGAAGTTGTCTGAAAATTTTGGGAACAAAAATCCACAACTTTCCCTGTAAATTCAGTTTTTACCAAGGGAAATTTTGCAACGTCTGAAGGCTCATACGGCGTTTTTCTTTAGCACGGAAGAGGTTGAGGGATGCTGAATTTTTTCGTGCGAGCGTGAATAAATGAGGAGCTTGCGGGGCGGGTCTCAAG